GATTGAATGTCCACTCTGAGTGTGAGTGAGCTTTTAGAATACGGGCGTAAGTCCGTAACGTTTCTAAAATTCCCTGAAACATTTCTAACAAATCCTTCAAAATCAAATCTCAGAAACTTTGACAGTGTAAATCAGCCTATATTTCAACAATAACAAAATAACTTTTAATTGCGAACACATTTTAGTATAGTTTCTTTGTGAATAACAAAGTTCGGTTCCCATTTGTGCTGGTATGTAGTTCCTCGACTATTAATTAAGAAGTAGTCCTTACCGTAATTACCGAGAATTGCGTTTGTGAATTCTTCGTTCAGTTCTAACTTTGTCAGACAGTTGGACCAAAGTATACTTCTTCAATAGGGGACATAATATTGGTTCTGCTTCCATCTTTTGCCGCACATATTTCTGTGAGATCGATTGATTGGTCTCTACCAAACTTTTAAAAGTGTTTTTAAAGCACTCGTTTTGTTCATCAGTAAACAACTTCGAGCCACTTCTTTTGGACACATTAGTAGATACTACCACACTTGGCGAATATTGACTACCGCTGCCATCATCAACATCTCCATCAACATCTGCATCAACGCTTTTTCTTTCCGCTGTTTGGACTGCTTCCGTATTCCTTATTCCAATTCTGGTAAGACGTTGCTGCGGAGTCTCGCTGGGAAGTTCGTTTAACGGGATCGCTGACTCGTCTTCACTAAACAAAGATCGGACTTTGTCACGGATTTTACTTGGAGAAATATGGTTGAGGATTGGATGGTTGCTGGCAATAACTCTCACATCTTCCATTGTGATCTTTTTATTTTCGATATTGGTGGCAAAGGCAGTCTTTACTGCGACGTTTTCTTCCCAGGCCCACTTGCGTCTTTTTGATGCACACTCGCTTTCCTTGGATGTAGATTTATCTTGGATCTCCTTGGATTTCTTGCCACAGTCAACTATTTTTGAAGTTAAGGGAGCATTTCCAGATTCATCTGCCTTTGAGGACCCGTCGGCATGCATCAATTTGCTCAGATACTTTGAGGTTTGAACTGCAGATGTAGTTTTGGTTTGAAGCAAATAAAACTTGTCTGCTGTTGACTTCTTGTGGTCCATCAAGCTAGCCAAGTTCTCTCTTTGTCCCACATCACTTTGGTGTACAGCTGAAACAGCAGCCTTTCGGAAAGCTGTGGCACCACCAGTTCCAGCTTCTTTCCCAAACACCTTTGCCCAGCAGCTACCTATCTGAGAACCAACTGCAGATGGTTTCATTGGCTGACTGTTCAAGGTGAGAAAAACTTCTGCTGTATCTTGGGTAGGTGCATTTTCAAGTGAATTTCTGAATTTCGAAACGAAAATGTTCATCCATTGATGCAGTGATGGCGACAAGACAATATTTGCGTGGCCGTGTGTGGTAAAGGTCTTGTGTTTTCTTATCTTGATGACAAAAGAACCATCTTCTTCCTGAGCCTTACGAAACTCGCCAAGTGTCATGTTGGCTAGAACACCTGCTCGACTGCCATTATTGATACATAGCAAGGTGAGAAGATAGTCCCTCACCAATGTGTATTCAACTTGGCTAGGCACTGCAACAGATGTCAAATCCTGGTAGTCACCGATGACTTTGACTGCTGATCTTGCTACGCTCGAAACATCGAATCCCTTGACTTGTTCAGGCGTTTTTAAATTGTTTATGTCCTCCAGTCGTTTTTCCCAGAACCGATCTTTGACAAGTCTTTGAAAAGACTTGTTCCATAGCTTCACTTGAGCAGACAAACGACTTAACATTTCTTCAGTTGCATCAATCTGTGGAGGATTCTCACATTTTAAGAAAATGTAAAAGTGGTTTAATGAAGCAAGGTAGGATTTCACTGTCCCTGGCCGTTTCTCCTTCTCAAATTCAGTCAGCCATTTGTCTCTTAGGGTCCGCTTGTGAAGTATGTTTGTGAGGTCTCGATTTTCTTTGTCGATATACTCAACAACCATTTCAATCTGGCGCGAGCACTGATGCGCAACCCGTTCTTCCTTCCTTCCACCATCTGGTCCTTGAAGCCACTCTTCAAATTTTTTGAAAAGGTCTTGCTGGGATGGTGGAGTTTCAATATCATCTGGACCATTGTCATCAACTTCCATATCGCTTTCAAGACCGTTGTCAAACAGCTCATCGAATTCGCCTGTGGAATCTTCACATGTAGAATCTTCATCTGTGGAATCTTCATCTGTGGATAAATTTGAGGATATATTTACTTCAATCTTCTCCTCTTGAAAGATTTTAGGATATGGTGGAACAAATTCTTCCGACTCGCTCTCTTCATCACTGGTGTAGACGTTTTTAAAGATACTTTCATGTTTTTTATGTTTTTTAACTTTTCCTTGTTTTTTCCTACACACAACTACTTCTTCGGATGAGCTAGTATCAGGCGTAGATTCACACGATAAAATAGCCTGTCCACTATGCACAACCGCTTCAGCTAAACATTTCTTGTACACACTACTTTTGCGTTTCATATTATGAAAATCCGTAAGGTGGTTATGTAGTCGTTTCACCACAGCTCGACAATCAAGGACAGGGCACATCTTTTCCTTAAATATACGCTTTCGTTTATTGGATGTCTTTTTCCTCTCTCCACGCAAACCAAACATACCGAGAACGCCAACAGAATCTTTTTCATCCCACTTATGTTTCTGCCTCATGTGACGAGGAAGATGCACTACGTTTGCAGAACAAGATGAATAAGGACATTTATGTTTAGCTCTACGTTTCCCTTTCGAACTACCTTCTTTATTTTTCTCTCCACTTACAGGTACAACATCTGCCTCAACTGCTGCCAGATCTTCGACTTCTTTATCATTACTCACTTCTTCATTACTAAGATTCTCCATCTCCTGAACTTTCTCCTTTTTCCTTAAAATAAAAATTTCAATTAATCATCCACATACTTAAAACTGTGACAATAAAGAAAATTCAATGCAATGAACAACGTATATCGCATTGATACTAGAAAACAAGCTTAACTAGGGATCCAAGGATAGTGTAAAGTTTCAAATTGAATAAGATCGGGAAGAACTGCGTAGGGTCTAGCGGGTTAATAGGTTTGCTCAACAATTAGGCCAAACAACGTCACATTAGGCCTTTGTTTTTTTGTCTTAGCGTGTTTTGTTTTATTTGTTTTCAATAACAGCACTAATACGATTTGGCCTAATTCTTCATCTAACATACCAACCCTGCACGTTACTCAAAAATGTGGATTAGAACAAGGTTTTTACGAGAGAAACAATTCATTGTCACTTCCTTCGCCGTGCCTCGTGGAACTGGTACAATTTATTTATTTATTGTGATGCTACACGAGACAACTCGAAATTTAAATTCTTTCACCAGCAAGCAAATTTTGTATATTCTAAAACTACAATTGCATTGGGAGCTGTCGCTGAAAGTATCCCCATGAGGCTAC